TTACATTAACAGTCATGAAGAATATTTATTCAGCCAACTGTTTTGCACACATGTCCATAATGGCGGGCTTAAAGGTAAACTTGGTTAGATAACCTTGCAAACTCAACGTGCCAGCCATTTTATGCGGGCACAATCGCACAATATGAGACGAAATATCCTTTTTACGCAGCCTCGTACCTTACTAACAGATTGAAAAACGGGTTCGTTGGTAATCGATCCAGTCCATTAGTCAGCGTGCACGTATCCACAAATAGATGCAAAGGAGCCCTGGATCGTATCGACCACGCGGAAACAAAGATTTCAGTCGCAGATCGTTTGGGTTCAGTGGGCAAGTAACAAAAACCCCGAACAAAACGTATGGAGAGAAAATAGGAATTGTTCAGAGAGTTTCAAGCTTGTTCGAAGGACAGGCTATAGTCCGTATCGTTCGACAGAGGAAAAAAACACACACCGAAACGTGATCGTTAACTGATTCGTCGATTCGTTTACACAAGTTACGTTCGTTTCGAACGATTTCTTCCGCATTTATAGCTTCGAAAATTCAATGGATTTGCATTTCACGTGACCATGAGCCGGTTTCAACGAAATTTTCCCACGAAACGAAACTATGTACATTGTTATCCCTTCATATTTATCCTGCTATAACCTTCTATTGTAACACGTGCGTTTTTTCATGATTTTTTATATTTTCAAGTTAGAATATTTATATAGTTGATATAATGTTGTTGAGAAATTTTGCGAGTCAAATTATTCAAGCATCAATATTAAGTGTAATTCTTATGTAATTAGGTTCTGGTCTATTTTCCTTTAGACTTTCCGCAATCTCCGATTTCTACCATCAAATAAGAATATAACAGTGATAAAGTTCGCTTCATTTTCCAAAAGTGTCTTCTCGTTATTCTTTCACCAAACGAACTTCATGTTTGCTGGACCCGATTCGGCTAATTCTCCCCGGGAAAGTTCGTGGAAGTCTTTCGTGGTCTTAGGATCATTAAAGTACTCGTTCCTTGAAATTTCCGACACGTCAGACTCTTCTCACTTTCCGCCACGGAGTAGAATTGTGCTGGTCGGTTTTCGCCGCGCGTTCCATTTTCATTATCTCCGGTTTCGTCTCGCATCGTCTGCACACACAGAGAGCCCACGACATGTGCCGCGAAAGCTCGTTTAACCTTACCCGGCCCCGAAACACCGCCGTTATGATCTGCAAGGATGGGAAAAAAGTACGTGTATCACCCGCTTGAGTCCGCACGAATATGACGTACGCGACGATAAGACACACAGCCAGATTGAGGTCCACGATATTTCCCGTGTTTGGCTGCTCGTGAAATGAAACACGGAGTACGGATAGACGAGACGTACTGAGAAAGGGATTCGGAAAGGTCTGACGTGACGTGCTTCTTTAACCCTTAGATACCAAATTTTCGCAAATTTGTATAAAGGCCGAAGGGGCCATTAGAGTACACCACGGATTTTTATGAAATTTAACTTTCTAACAGTCGTTACAAAATATTACATTTTCTTCGGAAACAGTGGTTGTCCTAATACGTCTGAATGGGAATGAATCTAGTTTTACTTGGCATGCTTAAATATCTTTTAATCTGTAATATTTTGACACGTATATATTCGGTTGAAAAATGTTATTTCCTAGAAGAAGTATGGTAGGTGTTTATTCGTCTATGAAGCTTCCAGATAAAAAAGTTCGGAGACTCTTAATGAAAACGTTTTCGAAACTACGCGACGTCTTGTTTAAATAGGTGACAAGACCGAGAACGATAATCCTTCAGCTTAAAAACAGGACATTCCAAACTAATAACCATTTGTGTCAAATCGATATTGTACACGGTGTCAGTCACGTCTCGATCAAAGATTCGGTTACTACAAATATGTACTAAAACATAATATCCAATAAATTTCTGGTAAGTGGTTAAAATTTATTTGAAACGAAAGTTAATATATAATAGTATTAGAATTCGTGACATAAATTGTCATATTCTAATATTAGCAAAATGTGTAAAGAATATAAGTTCCATTTGTATGTAAGATAAAGTGGAACGTATAACATCAATGACGATGATTATAAACTGAAAATTTTGTTTGAAATATTTTGAAGTAATTACAAACTTTTAGAAGTATAATAGAACATCTTGAGTATTACAGTATATCTTTGTAATATTTCGTTGATTTTTATTCAGTACTTCTTAGCGTGTCTGCCTTTGTTGTGCTACTTGTCCGATTTATCACCGAATCTAGAAATTGTTTACTATATCTCTATATTCCGTGCATAAAGAGGATTCAACGTCGGAACTCGCGATAACCGTGAAAGCTGTAGCGGAGTGATGTTCCATTTCAACGCCAAAACAATAGCACAATTTTACGTGAACAATTTTATAATGGGACACTATAATTGGAGCATTCACCGGTGTTTGTGACAAATCCGTTCGTATCTTCGTACTATACATCATCAACCGATGTCTAAAAATCGAACACAACAGATAAAAGTAGTAAATCACGATAATTTCTACTTAATTCTACTCCTTTTCAATTCCAATACCAGACAATTTATCACACTCGTAACACATAAATTATTATTTGTATAAAGTGAATGTCATGTCACACGAAAATATAATTATTTTACATCCTGAAACATATATTCACTGATACAACGGATCATTTTTCACGCGTATTTGGCCCGTATTATCACTACCTAATAACTCAGAAACGAAGCCTAGAACGCACTTTCGTTACTCTCGATATTCATCCTAATTTGGATTGTAGAATCAACTCTGTGAAAATGTTCCACATCTTTATTAACACCCTATACACCGTATAGAGCGAGAAAGTTGGCATGTGGGACTGCACAGTGACAAGTGGGGTACTCCGGCTCCCTTCGTATGAATCCGTCTGCGACGCTCCCGCAGGCCAATGATTAATACTCCGAGACGCTGCGGCGTTACTTTGAAGTTTGTGAGATCCTAACGACGTCACTCTGTCCAACTCGGTCTCGTTGTGTTTTGTTCGGCTCTTTTTGTCACGGCGGTGCTGTTTGATCCGATTGTGGACGTTGCCGTTTCGGCCAAACTTGTCCCAAATCACTTCACGGGTGACCCATTTCAGAGACCTACAACACTTTTGTTACACCCTATATACATAGAATTTTTGCTGAAAGAGATCACATTCTTTATGTAAAAATGTCGGCAGCCTGAAGGTTAAAGGAAAACTGAAAGTTGCAAGACTCTGTTTGTGAGGTTTAGAATCAAGGCCTGCCATCGATGTGGTTTTTAGGAGACATGGAATTATATTGTAACGGTTGGGGGATCAAGTCTCGGCGTGATTTGTGAGAGATTTGGTACTCGACTTGTATCGGTCTGGGATCAAGACTTGCGATGTGATTTGTGGGAGGTTTGGAACTATTCTCGTATTGGTACGGGATCAAGAGTAGGCTTGCGTTCGTGATGTGGTTTGCGAGACACGTGGAACTAGACCGACAGGTTTGTGTCCGACACGTTTTTCAGAGCTTCTGATAGGCGTGGTTAATATTACTTGTCGACTGTTTCGCACATGATTGGTGGTCGAGCGTTTACAAGCAGGGACTTCTACCGAAACGTAAAATACCGGTATTAGCAATTGGCTTGCTCAAATACAACGTTATTTATGCAAATGAGTATTTACAATAAAATTTTCATACTAATTTACTGTAAATGCTTGCATTTATAAATAATGCATTTCATTTTCTACGTTAAATTACATTCTCGCTGTAGCACACCTTGTGTGTTTGTATTCATTAGATTCCTTTTATAACAAACTCCTCTCGAATATTATTGTTATATGCTGTTTAACACTGTTAATATAACAATTTATATTTTTGACACGATTAAATGAGGTGTTATTTCAATTTAATATTATCTATATAATTGTAATTGCCACAACAAAATTCAATGGGGTCATATGAAATTATAATAATATATGTAAATAATGGACAACGCATTCACAACAATAAACAAATCTGACAAAGATTAATGGAATCAGAAGAGAGATTTTAACAGAATTATTTTTCATCGTGCAAGTTTGTTTCTGCGACAGAATAATAAAGTAAGGTATTTGTGGTCATGCGACACGCGACAAATCATCTACATATTTTTCTGTTGACCTTCATGATTTTACAGCTACAAAAAAGAATTTACCATCGGGCACGAATGTCGCGCATTAAATTGTGTCTAGCGCAAGCACGATATCGTAGCGCATATAAGGGGCTTTATTACAATTTACTTCTACCGCCTGGATTTTCTGTAATCTAAAAAACTTTCCAGGATATTAATAATTCTAATGGAAAGCTAATTTTATTAATTTCATTATGCCTCGGTGGACATTCAATAAATTGTTGTAGAAACTGTTTGCTTTTGAAATATAATTTCCAGTTTATGTAACTGTAATTAAATTTACTAATTAGGACGTGAGTCACTTAATTTAATACTTTTATAATGCCACGAGTTGTACAAGAAGCTTACAGATATTTGAGACGAGATTTAATGCAAGTTCAGAGTTACCTTCTTTAAAGAATTAAAATATATCATTCTTTACATGTATTATTTACTCTTCTACCAAATTCTTTACATTTGTTCAACAAATATTAAAATTTGTCCAGTATACTTACATTTACGCTTACACTATTTGTAAGTAGAAATAGTTAGTAGTGGACAGACACGTCGATTTCTTTTCAAATATTCAACGAACATTTGAAATTAATGTATCCCGAAAATCAAACTTGGTATAAAGTGGAGTTCGTTCTATGATTTTGACTTATTTTTGTACTAGGCATCGGCTCGTATACATTTACACCATCAATATACCTGCACCTTGTATACATATTTGTTACCGGAAATGCTAATGTAATGACATTGTATCGCGTTGCTTACAGAATGTTCGAAAGATGACTGAGTATTAAGGCGAAGGTGTGTCAGTGACTCTGCAAGTTACTGCCACCGTAAACTTTACCCGGTGGGATGGAGCTGAACGGGACTGACATTAGCCAGAATGGCACCGAAACCAATCGTACGTCGTCACCGGTTTTCATCATTAGTACGCATTACATGACGCAATGGTGAGTACGTAAACTTGTAGAGTGATAAATTGAATCCCCAATATTTCCACGTAAATCAAAAGTCCATCCGTTTAAAGTCTTCAAAGTTTGCAAAATCTTTTGAATTATAACGCAGGTACATTAATTTAGTTCTTCATTACTATTATTTATAATTCATATTTGACTATTGGGTACAAAATGTGATTTGGCTTACAAAATAAGATTCATCCATTCATATCTTTGTCTTATGCAATCTTATACTTAAATTATATCTATGTATATTAATATAGTTTTTTATATAATTTTATATTTGTGGTTTGAGTTATTAATGCCACGGTGCCTTTCTACACTGCACTTGAAGTCTAATTCAAGCAAAGATGAAAGCTGAATATTCAGTTTTTAAGGATGCAAATTGTCACATTGGCGGTAAACTGAAACTCGTTTGATTGAGTTTACAAAAGCCGATTACTTGGAAGGGATTCTTGATGTTGTGGAGGTGATGATAATTATGCTTAATTAGTTACAAGTGTTCGATTTAGTTAGGTAACCACCCGCATGTAACGGGTCACCCACAGGTACACAACGTATCCCTTATTGACAATCACCAAAATTCCGTTTGATGGCTTCACACGATCACTCAAATTGTAAAGTACATAGACATAAGGTTAGAACATTATTATGCAATAGTATGGTTCTAATTAGCCATTAACAGCTGTAATAATTGTGCGGGCAAGATGTATCTTTTTTATTCTTGCAAAATTGAGCCTAAAAAGTTAAAGTGAATGGTATTATCGTTTTTTTATTTATGAATTATGTTTCCTTTAGGATATTTTCAATTTTATATAAATGGAATAATGAGTTTTCAATAATATTGAATATTTTAATGTCAGAATATTATGGGGAAGAGGCTTCTACCCTTTGACTCGTTATTTAATCATTTTATACATTCTGTGGTATACTTCAATTACACATGGCCTTACAAATAATCGAATTTACCCGCACTTTTCACTATAAGAAAAGAGTATCTTCAACGTAAAATGAATAATTGAATTTTTAGCCGATAAAAGATCCATAATGAAGTCAGTCCATCGAGGGGAATACTTTGATGTACCCGATATTGATCGAAATTATTTTCCGGTAATATTTATCAACTTGTTTAAGTGCTTCCAATTGTAATAATGGTCCTGCAATTTCGTTACTTCTAAATCTATGATATATTTACCTAGTTTAATTGTACTTTATTTTTCGACTAGCTAACTTATGTCACGTTCGATATACACGATTGATGTCATATTTCCGAAACTATTCTTTTATGTTTTACGTTTTATATATGTATAGGTAAGAAGGAATTATTCTACACGTACGGTGGACAGTTTTCAATTACTTTCTGTCACTTATAGTGATGGCTTCCCCGTGTACGTGAATGGAATAACAGGACTTAAATAGTAACTTATTCTGAAACTTTTAGCATATTTCTGGTTCATTCCTTTAGGTTCTTTTTCAAGTTTCATTGAATTTCATTGTCTTTAAACGTATAAAGTTCTAAATGATACATTTTCAATTCAACTGAATTGAATGCTATTTTTACACTCACAGATGTATTATTGTATATATTAAGTTAATGATTGATTGATATGAAGTTAATTTAACGAAAATCATGATTGATTTTAATTATTGCTGCATTGATTAACTTTTAATTATTGCTGGACTAATTAATAAAAATATGATTTTTTAATATGATAACATGATATTATGGAATATTTAGAGATCTAGAAACGTGACTCATGTTAGATGCTTGTACGGTTCGCAACTTCGATTCCGGAACGCTAATTTTCGTCGTCATTATAATCAAACCTGGAGTGAAACTTCTCACACCAGATAGGTGTAGTGTATGTTTGTGGAGTAATCAGCTTCGGTGAACTACTTGGCTTACTATAGATCAAGTAAGCAGGTAGTATTGTGAACGCGTGAAATTTTCGAACTATTTCGTGTAAGAACATAATATCATGAAGTAATTTAACACCATGCACAATTGTTTATAAATCAAAATTGTATTACATAATCGTTTAAAATAACATTTAACTAATGTATAAATAAACTTGGTACATGAAAATTGTACAATAAGCATTACAAAATTTCTGTTCATTGTACAATTTTTGAAACAGTTTATTATTTAGTACAAAAAAAGATTTACTTTTTACACTTAAATCCATTATTACGATAATCTTCAGGTATTCTATCAATTATATGACATCTATTCAATAATATGACTCTTTTATAGTGACAGTGGATTCATTACTTAAGTTTCTCAGAAGTCAAACTAATTAGTTGTTGATCGTATAAATTTCTCACTTTTCCACACTTAATACACTTATTTTTCTGCAATTTAAAACGTTTAAAATTAAACTAAATTCAAGGCAACAATTTTGTTAATATTAATGACTTTTTCGAGTTTTTATTCGACTTCTTAGAGTTTCAATTTCCTATCACGTTATCGAAGAATAATATCGTGTAGTTCCTTTCACGCAGTCAATATTTCTATGTGCATGTTCAAGACGCACCAAGGCTGAAGGAAATGAACATTCACGGGGGACTAAAACGAAGACAAAAATTTTCAGGGTGTGGGGCTTGTTCCTCTACGAGACAGCATTGTTCTTCTAGCTGCGGTTAATGAGTACCGCCATGCACGCGGTAAATAGATGTTCGTTTGTGTCTCGTAGCTGTTAAAGGACCCCCTGAGAACATGTTATTCAACATCCTCCCAGCTCCTGAAATGCAGCGCTCTCTGAAAATAGATTTACGTACGGGTCGCATAACATCCTATTTCGTTTCCAAACAAAATTGTGGTAATATGGGAATAACAGAATATTGTTCAACATTCCATAATATTCATGCGCATACGTACTAAACAATGATAAAGAATTAGAGTAAACAGAAGCTTCATTGTTTACTGGGCTCCACTTATACCTACTCGCTGAATTTTATGTATAAAATAGTGAAATTACTCTTTGATCTTTCTCTTCTAACGTTTCAATATTTGCGGTTTCATAATTGGATGATGATTATTTTCAAATTTGTCGTAATGCCAACAAAGAGCATTATTGCACGACTACATATTTTAACGTAACTGTAATATAGGAGTACAATCAAGTTAGGAAAAAATTCGTTAATTGGAATTCTTGTTTCCTGATAATGAAATCTATATACGTGTAAAAAGATATTGGCAAAACTAAGTTTATAAATAACCACTTTGGAAAACTTGTTTGATCAAAATACATTCTCCTATTCCTCGAATAAATAACTTTTGTACAGTAAAAATACTGTTTTAATTTCGTTGGAATATTTGAGGAATACAATATTAGTGAGGAAGACTTCAAATTTATATCTACCCTTCCGCGGAAATGAATCTATACTATTTTTAATCAACCGTTCAGTTTTCCGATAAAGATCGTTTAAATGTGTTGAAACCATTTCCACAAAAAATACATATATCTGAACCGAAACGATGTGCCTGATTAAAATCAGTGTTACCTTAAGGATTTATGTCGACGTATGGAAAACGAGCCTTTCCGGATTGTAAAAGATCGATAATAAAGTGTTTCAATTATTCTTCCAATACTTGTAATTTTCATTAGATCATTTCTTTTACTCTGCACTTCTACAATAAAAACAACCTACGTGTGTACTAAAAAATTTGTTTCCTAACCTCTAAATTTCTACTTGTGTTGAGAAAAACATATAGATGTGAACAAAATTGGAATAAAATATTGTGAATTCAGCTCTAATAATAACCAAAATCGTTTACACTCGAATAACCAAATATCGTTTACACTCTGCGCAATTCCGAACGAAGGATGGCCCGACTATTGGCTTTTTGAGACAAGAAGGTTTTTCAAGGAAGTAGAGTAATGTAGGAAGCAGGCGTAGCTGCGAGCTGGCATGCTGCAAAACCAATCTGGGGAAAATTGCACCCTTGACCTAGCCATGTTAATTCGCGTATCCCGTTGTGCTGAAGTATATAAGAGAATAGGTGAGTTTCAGCTGATGGGACTAGTTGCTCGAATACGAGAATACGTGTCCGTGCTGGCTCCATTATTTCATAAAAAAATAAGAGAGAAACGTGATGTCGTGCAGAAGAATTGAAACACGCGAATCGCGTTAGAGTGTCGATCAACTGCTCGAACACGCGACAAAATATGTGAATTTTTGCGTGAGTTTATCGATAAAGTATAAGTACGAATGCGTGTATATTAACCGCAGTGCAAGTGCCTATTGGTTTCATGTATTGTATACATTTTACTTTACAAAATAAAAATGAAATATTTCTTTCTTTTTCAGTAAAAGAGTAAAACAAAAATAGTTAATTTTTTAAATAATTAAATGTTTCGATCATTAACTGATTATATTTCATAAAAGATATAGACAATTGTCAGCACTAAATGATTTTAAAGCCCCAGAAGCTTTGTACAGGTGATTTTCACGTAGCCGAGAACAATAAACTGGGTCATAGAATAGCGGTAGCGTTATAGAAATCGATTACTTTAAAAATTTTGGTGCTATATATACAAAAGTTACTCTGTGTATTGGAAATGGAGAGTCAACAGAACGCTTGGGGCATTTAATTTCGCTCTGCAAATTTGATAATTAAACTGGCACCTTTGTCGCCCGCATACGCTTGGAATTTCTATAAAATCAGCGATTCTGTCGAATGATTCTCCTTTTAATTGCATAGAATTTGGTAATGTATGCACAAAGGTAGATCTGCTATACCTATTGCTAGCTTTTACTCATGAATTAACCGATGTTTTCGTGACGCTGTGAATTAGATAAAATTTTAGTCTGTTTCATTTCGGCCTCAAATACACGAGTATGTTTTTAAAAGTGTGATAAAACATTGTATAATTTTATTAAAATATCTTGCAAATTCAAACCCATTCTTTAAAGATACTTTCAAGCACTGTCTGTTTGCTGAATGAAAAGGTTTTTAAGTAATAATCTTGACTTAATACTAACACAAAGTT